AGGATGCGGTGAAGAAGTTTGCAGTGACCCAGTGCATCCTGCTGCCGGTGAGCTCGCTGCTCCTGCACATCATAAAGATCGGAGGAGATTATTTCTTCATCTACGCCTGGCTCTTCACGCTGCTCGTCTCTCTGGTCAGTGAGGAGGTCGCCCTCCGTTTCCCTCCGTCCGTTTCTCTCGTTCAGTTTTAGGTGACAGACGAACAAAAAGGCTTTTAAAGTGGAAAAAAATGTTTTTTTAAATTTTATTGCTGTAGCTATTTTATTCTAGTTGAAATTATGAGAACAAAATAATTCGATCAGAATAAAGTTACAATATCACCAGAAAAAAGTTGTTTAATGAGAGCAAAGATTTGATATTAAGTTACTGAAATCAGTTCGTTTCTTTCATCGTTTCAAATTCCTGCTGGTAATAATTTAATAAAAGACAGAGTATTTCCCTATTTTAATAACTTTATTCATCTTAATTTGTTCCACATTTTAATTTGTAGGAGTTATCATTAAATTACTATTTGATTCTATTAATATTTCGGCTTTATTTTTGAATAATTATAACTTTTTTCTCATATTTTTGTGACTTTATTATCATAATATTGACTCTTTGTAATATGAATTTATTTGTTAGTTTAACTTTTTTCTTGTACTATTAAAACTTTGTTCTCATGAAATGTTATGTAACTTCTTGTGTAATTACAATTTGTTTGTATTATTGTGACTTTATTCTCTTAATATTAACTTTTTATCATACAGATTTATTCTTGTTACAACCTTTCTTGTATTTTAATTATTTTATTCTCACAATATTATGTCTTTATTCTTGTAATTGTTTCTTATTGTTTAAAATATGCAGAAGTTTACCAAATGTTTGGAAATACTCCGACATTATTTCATGTTTAAATGTTTCCTCAGTATTTTCTGCTGCACTGATCGGCCTTTGCTCTGGTGTTTGAAGGTCCTTGTGACCATTTATGCGGACTACATCGCTCCGCTGTTCGATAAATTTACCCCGCTGCCGGAGGGCGAGCTGAAGACGGCGATAGAGGACATGGCCAAGAGCATCAGCTTCCCTCTCACTAAGCTCTACGTGGTTGAAGGTAGAAATGTTTTGTTTAGATCGTGGGAAGTCTGAATGCTTCCCAGAAAACTTTGTTTTCCGTCCGTCCAGGTTCGAAGCGTTCTTCGCATAGCAACGCGTATTTCTACGGCTTCTTCAAGAACAAGCGCATCGTGCTGTTTGACACGCTGCTGGAGGATTATTCCCCTCTGAACAGCGCCGGAGAGCCGCAGTCGGACACGCAGTCAGAGACGGAGTCGGACCCGGAAGAATCGTCCAGCGAGACGAAACGAAAATCCAAGGTGGCAAAAATCAACATTCAAATCTTCCTCACACAGGAAGTTCTGACTAATTTTAATTTTCCTCACAGAAGAAGCAAGGCTGCAACAACGCGGAGATCCTGGCGGTTCTGGGTCACGAGTTGGGCCACTGGAAGCTCGGACACACTGTCAAGAACATCGTCATCAGTCAGGTGATCAAAATCGATCAATAACTTTCAATTACCTGTTTTCAAGGTTTCATTTCTGTTAAAAGTCTTTCAAAATGCAGTTTAGTAACAAAGTGCAATTAAAAACTAAAATTTGGAAAATTTACATTCACTAAATAAAAATATGTACTTTTTTTTATTATTGTCTGAAGTTAAAGCTGAACTTCTATTTCTAGTTCAAATTAGAAAATTATTTATCTTTCCTAAATTCAACTAAACTTAGCAAGAACATTTTTAGAGATTTTTTTACATTTTCTTTGTATATTTACTTTGAGCAGGAAAATAATTAGTTTTATTTATTATTCCTAATTGCTCAGTGACTTATTGATCTGTTTGATTGATTGAAAGGTCGCCTTACATTTTATACTTCAGCGATGTTATTAGAGTTGGAGGATTTTTTTGTTAAGTTGTTTTGTAACATTTCAAAACACAAGTTTTGCTCAGCTTGTCCCTGCTGCAGTTCTGGACAAGTTTGAGAAGTAATTTTAAGTTTTCCTGTGGGAAAAGTGTCTGAATCCAACAGGACTTACTGCAGCAGATCTGATTGATTGAAACCTTTTTGTGCCTGCAGATGAATTCCTTCCTCTGCTTCTCCCTGTTTGCGGTTCTGATTGGGCGTACAGAGCTGTTTGTGGCTTTTGGATTCACTCAAAGTCAGCCGACATTAATTGGCTTGATGATTATCTTCCAGTTCATCTTCTCTCCTTACAACGAGGTAAAGTGGGTCACCAAACTGTTTATTTCCCTTGTATTAAAGCTGAAAGTTGTCTATTAATTAGTTAATTTAAAATTAGCTGCTTGTAGTAATCGCCTCCGTAGCAAATCGGTCATTTTTAAATGAAAAGTGCTCCGTCATGCTGCTCGGTTGAATAAACACTATTATTTTAATATTTCTGAGGAGTTTTGTAGTGAACAGAACCGCATAATGTGCATTTGGACTGTTGTTGTTTCTGGGTGCCATCTTTGTTACTGTATCACTGACGTTGCTTCAGGCGCCCCCTGCTGGCTGTTGGCTTCACTAACAGGAAGTCCAGTTTGAGAAGCTGCTGTTGAAGTGAAACTTAAGGAGTTTGTCGACTGTTTATATTCTCAAACCAAACCCCATAAAGTGCATTTTGGATCCCAAATCAGAATCTGCTTGGACCATTTCTTTCCAACATCCTTTTTTGTATTTCTGCTTAAAGATGACCAGCAGCGCCCTCTGCTGGGTGGAGGCCAAGCTACAACACAAAGAATTTCTACTTGCACATTTTGAGTTAATCAATTGGAACCAATTTTAATCTTCTAAACTGTTGATCAACAGTTAAGTGTAAGTCGATTAATCCGTCTTCTCCTGCTCCGTTCTGCAGCTGCTGTCTTTCTGTCTGACGGTTCTGAGCCGCCGGTTTGAGTTCCAGGCGGACGCCTTCGCTCGTGGCATGGGCAAAGCCTCAGAGCTGTACTCTGCCCTGATCAAGCTCAACATGGACAACCTGGGCTTCCCTGTGGCGGACTGGCTGTTCTCCATGTGGCACTACTCCCACCCGCCCCTGCTGGAGCGCCTCAGGGCGCTGGGGAACGTCAAGCAGGACTGACGCGGCCGGGCGGGGGAGCGGCGGGCGCCGCCTCCTCCTGCGGGCCTCCGCAGACCCCTCCTCGCCCTGTGACGCTGCCTGGTCTTTTCTTCCTCCCACCTGTCCTCCAAACATTGAGTTTCACCGTATTTTAGCACTTCACTGTCCAAACATTCAGCAAAACCAAAACATATCAGCGAAAAGCGTTTTCTCAGTGCGACTTCCTACGAGGAATCATCTGGACAATGTTTGTTTAGAAAAAAATAGCCAGACTACAGTTTACGGATTGATTTGGCAGTTTGTTTTGTTTTCAACTTATTTATTAATTACATTCTGTACATATTTTAAAAGGAAAGAAAGACATTTTAGGATTATTTTCCAGTATTAGGATGTCAAACTAGTGAGGAATTTCTTAGAATAGTTTATGAATTAGCTATTCCAGTTGTTTATTGCTTAAGTAGAAGAACATCTGTAATTATGGCGACGCTTATTTCAGATAAACAGGTCAGATTCTGATTCTTGAACTGTCAATATCAAAACTATTTCTTTTGTTGTTTTTAATGAACAATCTGATTCATTTTCTTTAGGAGTGTAATCATCACAGACGTGAGTGCCTCTGAATGTCTTTCTGTTCTGATAGTGATGTGAAAGTTTTGGTTTCATTTTTTCTACATGAACTGATGGATTGTTTTTGTTTTTATTCTTATTTGCCTGCAGTGGAGGGTCCAACCAGCCCTGTACATAATGTCATTGGTAGTGAATGTGGTTGGAAATTTTACGTTTAGTTTCTTCCCGTGTTTCCTGGTGAGCAAAATGTAAAATGTTTTTGGGGACGTTGGGAGGCGAAAACTTTCCTTCAGCACACAAGGCAGAGTTTGGTTTGCTCAAAAGGGGGATTGAAGCTTTCTTTGCTGTGTTGAATAAAATTCTGCAACGCATTTCATTTTCCCATCTGGTTCTGATCATAAAGTTATTATAACTGTTAATTTAAATCATATTTGAAAGAATAGCTGCTCAGATGTTTGAAAACTATTTTAACCAAACCCAAAAATGAGGCAGAAATGAGTTAAGTGTTTGTTTAAAATATTTTCATTCAATTTACATGTTTTTTTAATCAGTTTTTCTATTCTTCTGAGATTTTATCTCATAATTATGACAATTTATTCCATAAATAAAATGAATTTTCAACCGAAATTGTTATAGTTATAAAATGTATCTTCTCTAATTTGTAAATAAATACCCCATTTTATTAGATATTTCCCCTCAAATTCTGTAAGTCATTTATTTCAGTAACTTAATCCACCAAGTGAAACAATAATATCTAGCTTAATTCTACACAAAGCGATGTTTTTAAATCGCAGTAACCCTTTGTAAAATAAAAAAATAAAACCACAACTAAAAATAAAATCTTGTTTATACCTAATTAAATTCTGATGTAATTGAGAAAAGTTTGATTTCAGGACCTGTTCCAATTTATCTTTTTAAAGATTTAGAAAAAACATTTTTTTAATGCTTTTTGTTTATAAATGTAAAATTTTCCACTGAAGCAGAATGTTATTTATAAAATGTTGAACTTTTTTATTCTTCATTGAGATTCCATATTTGATCCAAGTCCATTTGAAGATGAAATAAAAGTTACCTTGAAAGCAAAAATGACCCGTATCAACGTGGGGTCGACAGATGCGTAAATTACGTAAGATGTTACGCTGGGGGACGTACCATTATGTAAATTGAGACATTTTACTCTAAATCCGTTTATTTCTTCAAACTAATGTTTTACAAAGTTGCGTTCCAAACGTACTAAAGTGTTTTTTGCTATTCGATATGAAAAATATTATTTTCTGCGGAGTGTAGACCAAAAGAGCAGGCGGACTCACCCCTCCGTTTCGCTGCTAATGGTACGGCCCGCTGGCTGCTTTCTGTGGACAAGGACAAACCGTCACTGCCAGTCTGTTTCTGACCCGAAGGTCCAACATGGCGAGGCTGCTGAGGTTAAACGTCAGGAGTTTTGTCACATCTCAGCTGAGAATGTCCTCCGATCAGGTGATAAACGTCTCTTCCCTCCCGGCTGCGTTCAGAAATCATTCAACATGTTTTTTTTTAGCTAGCTAAAACCAAACATGGTTAGAATAACATCGGTTTCAAATAGCTGGTAATGGTTTCTAGATTATATTAGTGATTTGGATTAAATCTGACCTATAAAAGGTTTTAATTACCAGCTGCGTCATAACAGAGGATCTGTGATTGTTTTTGCTCAGGTTACACTGTATAACATTTCCGTATTTTATTATTTTTATTATTTCTAAACCTGATTTTGATCTTCTAAGTTGAGCTGACTCAGTTGTGTTATTGCATAATATTTTGAAAAATATTTTTTCTTATCAATAAAATATAGATACAGTCCTTCTGTTTCTATCAGAGGCTTTTCACATAAAACCAGAAGTAAAAAATAAAAACCCACATGAAAACCTCATTTCCTGCATTTTCAAGACTGAAAGCAGCAAAGCTGAAACATTATCTTTGTTTGATGTTTCAAACAAACATTATTTGAAACTACGTGAAGTTTGAGTTAGAACAGTTGTATTTTTTTTTATTTTTGCTGCAGTATCAGTTTTATTTTGTGTTTCATTAAAATTTTATTTACTGTTCTTAATTTGCTTATTTGATGACGGAAATCAGACATCCCTGAGCAACAGAGTGTCTTCATTCAGAAGCTTCTTCAGAAGAGCTGTAACAGAGACTGCTACAGAGGCATCTACAACAACTCTTTGAAGGAAATTAAGAGTTTTAACATTTTAATTTCCATCAGGGATTACTAAATCATTTTTTATAGCATTTTGAAAAATTTTATTTAGTTAAAAAAAATCATTCAGTTATTTTTTTTTCTGTATTCAATGCATCTTATTATTTGTAAATTTAGTTTGAAATCCTTTTAAGTATTTTAGCATGTATTTATTTGTTTAACTGGTATTTCTGTAATATTTCAAACCATTGCTACTTCTGTTAACTGTGCATTTCTGTTTCATGTCATTGTTTATAACTCTTTTATTGTCCATATATTTAAAAACAGGCTTGTTTTGTTTATAACACTTAAACACTTAAATATTGTCATATCAGTCAAAATGCATGATGAAGTTTTCAAATGATGATTTAAATTATTCATGGTGAACAAAAGGAAGAAGACATTCAAGCTGACCTGGTCCTGTGTGATTAAATACTCACTTCTCATGCTTTGACTAGGCCACTCAAAAGAAGTCAAGCCTGCAGTGCACCAGACGGTTAAATAGTTTTTGGTTCTTTAGGGAAGATTATCCATGTTTTTTGTAATAATGGCTCTTTTGTAGTTATTTTTTTTAATGGTAGCATGTCATTATGTATTGTGTGTTTTTAAATATTTTATTTTAGATTATTTTCCTTCATGCTGTCAAACATGTTGTTTTATACAGTTTAGACATGAATCAAACCTGGGTGTTAATTTCACAATAAAATGACAAACTTTTAACTAAATCTTAATCAAAAGTTGCTAGAAAGTAGAACGTGTATCTGCTGACCTTTAAATGGGACATTTGTCTTTGAAATCTCTAAAAATGATCATAATACAGAATATCAAAATACACCAACAAAGCAAATATCTATTTAGGTAGTATTTAAATTACTTACAGTATTCATTTCGTATATAATGTGTTGCCGATGATTATATTTGTATTAGTTGCTAATATTTAACGTTTTGGATGAAATAATAAGCGATTTTCCCTCTGGATTCAGCTCAGTCTTCTTCTCTGACTCTCTGTCTCGCCTGTTGCAGCTGGGCGAGCTGGGTAAAGGTGCAGGAAAAGGCGGAGGCGGCGGCGGCTCCATCAGGGAGGCGGGCGGCGCCATGGGGAAGAAGCAAGCTGCTGAGGAGGAAATGTATTTCAAGTATGTTTTTTTTATTTGTATATATTCAAACCAACAGCAACTCTGCAAATGTCCAGAAAACACAACTTCGCTATTGCGGTGATTCAGTTCAATAATTGTGGTTCTGTTTCATTTTCGGGGGAGACTGACAGGCGGATCAGCGCAGCGTCTGCCGATATTAAATCATAATATGTGTTTCTGTTATGGTTAAGCAAATTTGTTTACATAATTTAAATTTCACAATTTCATTGTTAATGGAAACAGATTTTATTTTAATCTTAGTGCAAAATGTTTTTAGCAAAAACAGTGAGATTTTTTTTTTCCAAGTTTGCCATGTTTCCAATGAGCGAATTTATTTTTGTAAGTTAAATTTCTAGCAAGTTATTTTAATACAGATAGAAAAACCACAGAAAAAGGTCAAAATCTTCTTTTTCAAAATTGGTGTTTTCATTAAACTTATTTTTGCAATTTAAATTTGCACAGTTTTATGGCTAATGTAGAAACACAGCTAATTTGGTGGATTAATTTTTAAAAATCTAACATTTGGTTTTCTCCCTTACTTTTATTTATTTGTGTTTCTCTGTGGAACGGCACAAAAGACGTAAAGAGCAGGAGCAGCTGGCGGCCCTGAAGCAGCATCACCTGGAAGAAATCGATCACCACAAGAAGGAGATCGAACGCCTGCAGCGCGAGATTGATCGCCACAAGGGAAAGATCAGGAAGCTGAAACACGACGACTAAGTGAAACTGTCCAAAAAAAAAATATTATTCTCCTTTGCCTTTATTCATAACACCTGTTGCTGCATGCATTTACTGGGCAGGACATGAATGTGTGGAAGTTGCTGAAAGTCATCAAATCTCCTCATCTACTGGTATTTTGGTTGTTTGCTGCAGTAACAATCTGCAATTTCTGACTGAAGTTCATCAGTGCATTTTATGCTTCAGGTCACAAACTGTCAAGAAGTACAGTTAAAGCTGCGTTTGTCAACATGAGCTTTTTTCACAATTTAAATAGATAAAATTGTGCATTAAACTGCAAGTTGGAATCACTGAAAGCTGGTTTTCTTTGTGTTATTTCAACGTGCTGGGACTCTAGGTCTTCTCTGGTACACCAAGGTGGTTATAAATTAAAATCGTCCAAACATTTAGATTCTTTTTCTGTAAAACTGCTTTCAATAGTTAATTTTAAGCAAAGTAATGTTCTTTAAACCAATGGATATTGAAAGACGATTCAATAACCGCTGCAGTAAAATTAAGCTTTTAAATGTTTCTACTTAATTACATACAGGATAGTAAAGCATAAAGTCTGACTTTAAAACATCACAAAATACCTTCTAAGCTGAAACTTTCTGTAGTTTTCACATAGAAAGGGTCACTGGTCTGTTAGAAATGCATGTTTGCAAATTATTTGAAGCTCTAAGAATATTTCTGTACAATGGTGATCAAAACTAAAAGAGAAAATGAATGACTGTCATTTTCCAATTCTTAATATCACTGGCAGTTCTAGATTAAAATGAATCGTTTATTTTTGTCAACATGTTTTTCCCCCTGATTGGAGATATTAATGTTTTACTGTCAAATTTCCAACCAGAAACAAATGTAAAGGTCGAATAATAATTATTTAATTTTCATATTATTACTAACAAAAACAATTATTAATATTATTAATGCAAATGAAAAAATAAAGTAGAAAATTACATAAAAAACGCAGCCTCCTCCATACATAGATGGCGCTATGGCAAGTCGTACATGACGAAGAAATCAAAATTTCGTCACTTCCGGCTGTCCCTGCCTTTTACCGCGAGCAGCCCCGTTCTTCTTTCTTTTCGCACATCATGGCGGACCGGTTCAATAAGGTGAGGAATCGCTGCGGAGCTATTTACTTTCCTAATTTAACTTTGAGTCGTCTTTTCTCAGCCCGTCATAGCAAATATGCTGAAAATAATCATATTCTATCGACATAATGCCTCTTTGATTCTCAGTTTTCTGTGAGACGTTGCATTTTTAAGGTAATGACAGGCGGTTGGCCGTAGCTGTGTGAACATGCCTTCTTCCATCATGGCAGCTTCCCTTACAGCACAGCACGTTCAGCTTCACTATCCGAACTGTTTCTGTTGTTTTGGGAAGCGGTCTTTAAGTTTAATGTAGTTAAATAGTTTATAGACTTGCACAGTTATAGCGGGTTTCAGCGCTTCTCTGAAGCGACTCCATCGTGTTGGTGGTTGATGCTAACGTTAGCTTAGCCCCTCGCAATGCTCATTTACCGACAACGTAGCAAGTATCACTTAGTTTGACAAACTATTAAGCATTAAAACAATTAATGTAGTAATAAAAAACATAGTTGCATATTTCAAATGAACTCTGTGTTTTAAACTGGTCTCAATTTCCCTGTCTTTGACGCTAAATCACAAACGTAATTTAGGTTGTGAAAGTTATATTTTTAAAATTAAAAACAGGACTGGAGGTTCTGTTTTTCAAGCAAAGGGCTTTCAGGTGTTTAAGTCTAATGAATGTGATGGTTTTTGCATCATGGGCTTTGTTTCACAAATACTTTAGGATTTAGATATGTTAATTTATTTTTTCTTTCCTTACATTTTGCATTAAAGATTTTGTCATTGCATCCCAGGCTTTGATTTTATTTAAACTTTTAGATTGTGGATAAATCAGCATGATTTCTTTTTTCTTTAATCCTAAGTGAGAAAAGTGTGATACCAAAAGTAATAAAAATGACTTGAGGATTTCATCTGTTTTTTTATGAAGCAAAATGCATCTAAATAAGAAAAAAGATCTTGATTTTTTTTTTTTGTGTGTGTGTTTTCTCTGACAGGTTCTGCTACTAGATGGCAGAGGCCATCTGCTGGGCCGACTTGCTGCCATTGTGGCTAAACAGGTCCTCCTAGGTATGATACAACTTGATCTTTTTCCACTAATCAAATTTAATGTGATTTAATCTTTAACTTATACATGTGTTGCTATGTCAGGGCACAAAGTGGTGGTGGTGAGATGTGAGGGCATCAACATCTCTGGCAACTTCTACCGTAACAAACGTGAGTCGAGGCCAAATTTTCAGTGTTTTTATTGGAATTGCTCGTCTGTGATGTTTTACCCAATGTTGTTCGAGTTTCATTGACCATGAGAATACTTTACATGCACTACCATCTGAGACAGGAGTGCAGCAGCAGTTCTAGTTGTTGTTTGGTTGATTTGATGGGTAACCGGATGTTTATTGTCCAACAGTGAAGTATTTGGCTTTCCTGCGTAAGAGGATGAACACCAATCCGTCTCGTGGTCCTTATCACTTCAGAGCTCCAAGCAGGATCTTCTGGAGGACTGTTAGAGGTAAAAAGGAGATTTTAATTTAAAATGGTGATAAATTTGGCGTTGCTCAACAGTGATGAGACTTTTTATCCCGAATCTGATCCTCGGTTGATGATCCAAACATCAGATCTGACTGCTGAGTTGAGCATCACCAGCTGCGTTTCCATTCATTGTATAATTGATCAGTTTGACACATTGAAGATAAATTTGCTTTATGGAAACACTGCAATTTAAAAAAATGTTTTTGATCACGAGTCACTTGATCAACAGAATGTTACTGCTGGTGGAAACGCCAAAGAAGACAAAGTAGTTAATTTCATGGAAATGCAGCAATTACAAAGTTGTATTTTGGATTAATGACAAGTATCGTAGAAATTTTTAATGGAAATGCAGCTAATATTACTACCTGTGTGGTTTGATACTAAAAAAGTTTTTCTTTTTAAAGAATAATGTTGTTGTGTTTAGGAATGCTGCCTCATAAAACCAAGCGAGGCCAGGCGGCTCTGGAGAGGCTGAAGGTGTTCGACGGCATCCCGCCGCCCTACGACAAGGTGGGTAAAATGTTTCGATTTGACTTTTATTGGAGGTTTTCGTCTGTGATGATGTTTATTCTTAACTCCCTTAGCTGAGTTTCAGATGAGAGAGAGAAAAAAATCCCTGAGACATTTAAATCTAGGAATAAATGGATGGAAAATTATTTTTTCCTTTTGTTAATTTTGGGTTTGTTTTGCAGAGGAAGCGCATGGTTGTCCCAGCTGCTCTTAAAATCGTGCGTCTGAAGCCGAGTCGTAAGGTAAATACAAGTTTTTTAAGCTGAGTTTTTTAAAAAAAATTAAAATGTCTAATTAGATTTTTCTGTTTTTAAGGTCTGAGTGTTAAATTTAAGTTTTCTGTGTCTTTAATGTTTAAGCTAGAATGTTAAATTTAATAGTTTTTTCATGTTTTTTAAGCTAAATGTTAACTTTAACTATGTTTTCTCAGTTTTTAATTTAAAGTGTTAAATTAATTTGATTTCCATGTTTTTTTTAAGCTTGTATGTTAAATTTAATGAGCTTTTTCATGATCTTTAGCTAAATTTTAGTGCTTATTTCCGTGTGTTGCCCTCCTCAGTTTGCCCTCCTGGGCCGCCTGGCCCACGAGGTTGGCTGGAAGTACCAGGCGATCACGGCCACCCTGGAGGAGAAGAGGAAAGAGAAGGGGAAGATCCGCTACCAAAAGAAAAAAGTGCAGATCAAGCTGACCAAGCAGGCGGAGAAAAACGTCGAGAGCAAGATCGCAAAGTACACAGACGTTCTGAAACAATACGGTGTTCTTGTCTAAACTGGCTTTTAGTGGCTAATAAAAATTTAAGTAAATGTTTACAGAACGCTTCTTTGGCTTTTTTTTTGGCCATATTTCTCACTGTGAGTGTCTCTTGTGCCACAGTGTTCTGGTAAAACCATTAAGTCTGCTGGATGTTCTTCTATCAGATGTTTAGTTTTATTTCTATCTCTGAAAAAGATCAAATATTTTATTTTCCAGATTTGCTCATCAAATCATTTTATCTGCTTCCCTCTGGTCTGTTTTTTAAAAGTTTCATATCAAATCTGTATTTATAAATTCAGAGATTCTTTTAGGGTTTTTGGTGAAGGGAGATGACTTATGCCAAAAAACGTAAAAATTTACAAGTAACGAGCAACTTTCTGAGATCAAACTGTCAGATTATGAGGAAAATAATCAGAAATATCCTGGAAATGACATTTTCTGTGATGAACAGCAAAATTTTCAAGTTTTGCAACTCAGAAAATTTCAGCTTTTTCTTGCAAATTTAACTTTAGGAACTGAGAAACTTGGAAGTTTTTGTTTTTCCAGCAAAATGTAAACTTTAAGAGCTCATGAAAGTTTTGTTTTCTAGGAGTTTTTAATGTCAAAACTTTCAGAAGTTTTTTTTTTCCACCTGCGATGGCTCTAAAAGCATCTAGTTTTCTAGTTTAAAAGTGTTTTTCTAAAATCCATCTTAACGTGCAACTCATTTTGTTCCAGCAGGGGGCAGCAGCAGAAATGTTCTCAGAAGTTTATTGAAACAAGCCAGGAAATTTGAGCTTCAAAACTAAATTTTGTTTTTTGAGAAAATGTCTGAAATTTTCCAGAAAAACAAAATTTTTTCACTTGGAAAAATAGGATAGTTTTTTTATTTTTGAAAAATTAAATCTTCAATTTTCTGAGCTCAGAAATTCCAGTTTTTCCCAGAAAGACTGACCTGAAAATGTCAGTTTCTGGTGAAAATCGTCTCATGTTCCTGCCTATAATGGCAGCAATACTCTCCTGTATTTCTGTAAGATGTCTGACCGCCATGTTGCTAAAATCCGTCTCTTTGTGTAATTTCTCCTTTCCACCAGCAGAGAGGCACGTCGTGCTTCACGTGTCCAGCGCAGCTGCTACTTCAGCACTGGTTTTTCTAAAATCTTATAAAACAGAACCAAACCTTGGTTCAGTGGGTCGACTGTCTAAAATTATTCAACACCACAAATAAATCAAAATCCTTTCCGCAATTAACCTTTTTACAGTGAGTATTTAAATAACCGCTCCATTGAATATCAATGCATGTGCTGGAAGTATTTGCACTCTGCAGACTGAAGTTATTAGATATCTCTGCAGGGCGGCTCGGTGCTCATTTGAATTTCTCCTGCTTGTGAATCTCTTGGACGGACTGGATGGCTTCCAACTGAAATTAGGACAGACTCTCAGGTTATTACTG